GGACAATAAGCGAATAGTCACAGGCCGCAACAACCGCCTCGGCTACCTGGCTTCATGGTAAACACTGCACTAACTGTCTGCTACTTGACTTGTTCGGCGATTGGTTCTCATCAAAAGAAACCAGCCGCAAGCATAAGGCCGAACGTCTCGTCTCCGCGGCTAGAACACTCACACGTGTTACCAGGAACAGTGGCAAGACCAAAAAAACAAGACACGACTGTACCGTTACACTGTTCGGACTGCAGCATCCTAATATGGTTAAATCTCACTAAAGCATCAAGCGCAAAGCAGGGCCATTTACCACAGCCGGTGCGAACAAAACAAAACAAAAAAGTGCGTGCCGCTGATTCGAATGATGACACGCTGTACGTTGTAAGGATGGATTAGTGAGCATATAACTAGTGGACAGCTTGTTTGCTAATCCATATTCACGGTGAGCGTGAATCGTCATCATAGTGTCAAGCGGGCCAATCGATTGACACAACCAAGGTATTTTACTGGGTTGGTGTTCGAGACGTCGGGCTTACCACTCACATCTCTCAAGCGCGAACATGTTCAGACGTGAAAATTCAGATGCATCCATCGTGCGCTAGTGGTAACATGCTCGCCTCGCATTTCAGATTTCCTTAGTTCGAACTCCGGCACGGTTAGGGATGTGCAACGCCCAACAGGGTATGAATAAACCCTAAAGGACCGAAGCTGAATATCTTAGTTGAAGTAATTGCCCTAATCTTACGCCATATCTCCGAGCAGTCATCTTCACATTCTCGTTCAAAATATATCTACCGTGAAGAATTTCCGAGTCTTGCTATCCGGTACCCGATTGCGCTCAGGTATGGAAGCCAATAGTGACATTGAGGCACTTTTATACGATTTCCCTGTTCATCTACACACATTTCAGACCTCCAGGTTCAAGCAACGGATAGGTAATTTCCCGTTTTGGTGTATGCCGCAACAAGTGATACGCCAGCTTACGCCAGGAACCATACGACAATGGGATGTTCAATTGTGCAGGCTTACTGAATGAAGTTCACATGCAATAACCAACTCCGTGGACGTGTTGCATGTATTATTATCTATTCGATAGATTTTTGCTCAACACAAGGAAGAACTTCACTGAACATGAACAGATCGATGGGTCGACTGATCGCTACCCTCCATAGCAATGCATTGACAAGGATGTCACCTCCATTGGCGATCAAATCGCCCAGCTTAGCGAACAAACCGACGACCCTCTACGTTTTCTGAGTGAAACGACTGTAATCATGTGATGGCCAAGTGGTTAGAGGTCCGTGGTTCGAACCCGACCTCTGCCTCTCGATTTCCCCTGTCTAGGCTTGGGCAACCTGGCAGTATCCAATCCCTCGTGATTCCTTTGAGTGACATTGCAGCTAGGTACCGAAAGGGTGTTACAACAGGGTATGAATAAACCCTAAAGGACCGAAGCTGAATATCTTAGTTGAAGTAATTGCCCTAATCTTACGCCATATCTCCGAGCAGTCATCTTCACATTCTCGTTCAAAATATATCTACCGTGAAGAATTTCCGAGTCTTGCTATCCGGTACCCGATTGCGCTCAGGTATGGAAGCCAATAGTGACATTGAGGCACTTTTATACGATTTCCCTGTTCATCTACACACATTTCAGACCTCCAGGTTCAAGCAACGGATAGGTAATTTCCCGTTTTGGTGTATGCCGCAACAAGTGATACGCCAGCTTACGCCAGGAACCATACGACAATGGGATGTTCAATTGTGCAGGCTTACTGAATGAAGTTCACATGCAATAACCAACTCCGTGGACGTGTTGCATGTATTATTATCTATTCGATAGATTTTTGCTCAACACAAGGAAGAACTTCACTGAACATGAACAGATCGATGGGTCGACTGATCGCTACCCTCCATAGCAATGCATTGACAAGGATGTCACCTCCATTGGCGATCAAATCGCCCAGCTTAGCGAACAAACCGACGACCCTCTACGTTTTCTGAGTGAAACGACTGTAATCATGTGATGGCCAAGTGGTTAGAGGTCCGTGGTTCGAACCCGACCTCTGCCTCTCGACTTCCCCTATCTAGGCTTGGGCAACCTGGCAGTATCCCAGCCCTCGTGCAGCCTTCGGGTGGCATGGCGCCGAAAGGGTGCTACAGCTGAACAAAAATTTATTCAATCATGTGATGTGACAGCAATGCCGTTCGCTTATTCATACACATTACGTGACGTAATATCTACGGACAGATGAGAGGAAATGATAGTCGAGACAAATGTTGTCATTAATTCATCAACGTATCTCCTTCGTACGGTTAGGACGCCCGCACCCGAGTGGTACTTATTTTGTGTCCGACCCTAGTGCGATCGTTCATGATTGATGCCCTCTGAACGGGACTAACCTCCAGACTGGTCTATAAGCCAGACTAATGTTACTATGAGACCGGAAGAAAACGGCTCAGTTAGGAGTGGGATGAATGTAAATCTGGCAACTAAGGTGTCTTATTCAAGTACATCCACTGATTGTGAAGCTTCTACAATGGCGATGCTCCTTTATCGATCTTTTCCTCACTGTTACACTTGGATAGCTGCGAAGATTTCGGATTTATATTACTTCAAGTTACGTTTCAAATCTCCCAAGGCTCTTGAGTTTCCGACTGATATGGCTGGTAATAGCAGCCACCTGTACGGCTATCTGCCATGTACATTTCGAACCAGATGACCCTGGGTCAATCGAATTTGTGAGGATCCAATTAAGAATACGGTCTACTAAAGCATCCGTTGCGTTCACGGATTACAACGATCCAGGTCCTAGTGCGAAGAGCAACATTGCAGCCCACCTGAATCAGAACGTGGTCCAACCGAATGGAGCTTTGGTCAGCTACTTGGACTTACTACAGGGGAGCGCTGATTGGTTGGCAGCACAAGATCAGGCAGGGTCGGTGAGGGACAGGGCTTCGATCACGCATGGCACAAGCACCCAGTCCGATCCGTAAACTGCGGGCAAAGCAGTGAATACTTAAACATCTAGGTGTGCCAAGTTTCCGAAGGTGCAAATCGATGAAAGCTTCAGCAGTAAAACTCACAACCAGAAGGTAGTCCTCCCGTTCTGGTGAGTCCAAGGCAAAAGGGTGAGACATTGGACCCGAGTTTTGCCCTTACTGCAGTTCTTATTAGAACTCCGGACATCTGAAATGCGAGGCGGGTGTGTTACCACGGCTTCATCAGCGCACGATATATCTCGTTCTGTTTGAAATTAACAACTTTATGGCTCCCTTACTGCAGTTCTTATTAGAACTCCGGATATCTGAAATGCGAGGCGGGTGTTACCACGGCTTCATCAGCGCACGACATATCTCGTTCTGTTTGAAATTAACAAATTCTTTATGGCTGTGAACGTGAAACGACATTCATAAGGTTGCCCGGCAGCCCGTGAACCTTGTTGGGGCTCGGAGGGGGCGCGCAGTCCCTGAATTTCCGTAAACTTCATGTTCCACCTGAACTCAACTCTTTACAGCTCGTTAAGTCGCGTGTGGGAATGCTGTTTAGAGGCGGTTGGTCAATTTCATCTGTCCTCAATTCGGCATTACTTACAGCATCAAGTAACAGTTCTAAGGAAGAACAACCCGGTACCCCACAAGTGTACAGGGTTGTGTGGAATCTTAGGAGCTGAGGCGAGTAAATCAATTCAGATGAACTTCGAAGAAACGGCCTTCTGGTTTAGCTTGCCAATGAGACTGACACCTGGGATCTTGGTAACCCAAATTGTTGGTCCCTTTCACTAGGAGAAGTTCACACATGTCGTCTGATCTTTGGTGACCTTTTCCGTATTCGTTTCCGGAAGTACCGCTCACTTTTTACACTTCTACCTGAGAATAGTTCATCTCATTCTCAGGGTAATGAATGTAAAAAAAATAAATCGTTCACCTGTAGCACCCTTCCGGTGCCTAGCTGCCATGCCACATGAGGGAGGCACGAGGGCTGGGGTGCTGCCAGGTTGCCCAAGCCCGAACAGGGGAAGTCGGGAGGCAGAGGTAGGGTTCGAACCACGGGCCTTCGAACAGTAAATCCGCGCTCTAACCATGATGAATGTAGAAAAACCTGAACGTGAAGACATTAATGGGGTTCTAGTCCAAGCGTAGTCTGTTTAGACATTTGCTCAAGAGTTCCTAAGGTTTACTAGCCTTTCGCTTTCACCTTTGCCTCTCGAGTTCTAGGCTTGGGCAACCTGGCAGTATTTCTGCCCGGGTGGCATGGCAGTTAAGCACCGAAAGGGAGTTACAGCTGAAAGGTTTCGATTTCGCTTGCGCAACTATCTCGCAATTCTGGCTGGTAAATAACTAAACTAAAGTGGTTTTCATTCCAGACCAGGAACAGATTCGAACAGATTGTCAGCTCAAAGCTATCAGAATATGGAAATTCGAAAGGTTTTTCCATACGAACGACAGGTCGACTTTGCATCGGTATGCTTTTGCTATGAGTACAGCTCTCGTTTCCCCGGTTCAGCTTTGGTTGACAAACGTTTTCCCTCTTCTCAGTGTTTCATTGCGTCTTACTGTGAAGTTTTGACTGCCAGTGCAACCACTCTCTGGTGCATAACCCCGCGCTTCCAAGACAGCGAAACGTCTTTCTTATTGTTTCCGTAATCCCACTTCTCAGTGTTTCATTGCGTCTTACTGTGAACTTTTGACTGCCAGTGCAACCACTCTCTGCCGCATAACCCCTCGCTTCCAAGACAGCGAAACGTCTCTCTTGTTGTTCCCGTAGTCCCACGTTGTTGATGCTCATTGATTTTTTCCCCGCTGTAATCTACCCTCGCTTCCAAGACAGCGAAACGTCTCTCTTGTTGTTCCCGTAGTCCCACGTTGTTGATGCTCATTGATATCTTCACCAACTGTAATCTACCTCCATAAAATCTGTGTTGGAACGAACTGAACGTGTTTGGGACAGGAAACTTTAGTGTGGTAACCTTCACTTGCCCTTGGCTAACAATCGAATCTTTCCGCAGGTATGGATGTGTGGAGGACAACTGGAAACTATCATATGCAGTCACATTGGACACATATTCCGATCTCGTTCTCCTTACAAATGGGAGTCAAAGTTCAGCTCGCCCCTGAGACGGAACACTGCTCGTCTAGCCGAGGCCGTGCTTGGCCCGTACGCCAAATTCTACCACTCGCAGACCGGTACTCGAAAGGTGAGTGAGCACTTGAGAGCTTTTTTTCTCTGACCACTATATGAGAGTCGTTACTTACTTCACAACACTCAGAGTCTACAACAGTCTACAACACTCCTCGTTGCCTTCACTGTTTCCTCGTCGATGGGCCTCCATATCTGTCCAACTACCCAACGGTCAATCGATGCCTCGATATTGTTCACATCCTGTCAACAATCCTGCTTGCTAGACCAAACATTGGGGTCTACTGCAGCATGTGACCGGTTGCATTTGACCGATCTGTCAGGTGGCAGACTTGTTGATGTTGATCCACACTCCGGTCTAATAACTACAAGTTGCCGTGATTCTTGGTCATTTGGAGCGTTCGACGTTGCGTTTCTGTTTTGCTAGAGCAGGTCAGTAGAAAACATTTATAGGATCTTTTTGGGCCCATAAACTTCGTTGGGAAACGAAATGTGTGAACCTATAGTTGGTTCACTTGATGTTTCAGTCTCAATCGAGGGTTGGTGCATGTTTCCAGGTATGTTGATGGCCGGAAACGCGCGGATTTTGTCAAAAAATAAAGGACCGTGAAACAATCGAACCGTTTGCATCTGTCACGAAGCTGACGTACTCCAACCTACACCCTCTACCTAGTTGTTGTACTGAACTATTCAAGTCCGATGACAGTCTACGTAGACGTAGCCTACCATCTCTTCCGGCAAACAACTTGTGAATGGTAAACCACAGCGTAGGTTTGCACGACATCGTCCAAAACCTCAGGAATCGGTCTAAGAATCTTTCGGTTCCACCTCCTCTTTTTGGTTGCTAGGTCATACAGATCCTAATGCGAGACCAGTGCTCCACAGGCTTGCAATATCGTCAGCCACTAGTGATACGGATTTGAGAAACGGTTCTCTAGCGAATCAGCAAAGTCTTTCATTAAAGATGAACTCAGGTTTCGATTAGCCGATTGTTTTAGTCAATATTACGGTTTTAGACTATTGACGACTCGAAACAAACAGAGATCGACTGACTCAAACTACCCTTCGCCAATCCGGCAAGTTGGTCAGTCAACGGCGAACACATTTGGGTGTCCTATGATGCCTGCAAAGGGTGGCGAACAATGCTGTTTCTGTAATCTGATAATAGTTCACTTTTGTGTTGATGAACTGGGACTAACCTGGACTGAAGCAAGACTCTTTCGATCGACTACCGGAAGCAGCGCTTAGTTCCTATTGGCACTGGATTTCTTGCCAATCATTGCAGTGAAGACCATATTACGCACTGCACTTGTTTCCAGATATATCATCGTACATCAAAGGCAAGTACGATACTGCAAACCTGACACTTTTATATACTCTACCCAAATTGGGCCATTACCGGCTTTCCCCCAGGCAAGTTTGTTCGACGGGCGCTTGTCAGGAGGCCTCCCGTTTTGGAGGCCGGATAAGAAGACTGGTTTAGGGAACCTCATCTGAAACCTTCATTAGAAGTATCCGAAAAATACGTACTCAAAACACGAAGGCTGGAATCACCTGAGACTGGTTTTCGATGTGAACACTGGGGCGAGTCAGACACTGAAGTCCAGGACACTCTAGGAAATAGGTCCGCCGGTGAGCAGCACCTCCAGGACACTGGTAAGAAGCGTCTCATACGTCATGCGTTCAACCTGTGCCGTTTATCATCTGCTAGGCATGAACCAACAACTCAGTATTGCCTATTAGCTCACTGTGCATGCTGTTCACCAATGACACTCCGATTGCAGACATGTGTATAATCGTGGAGCGTTGTGACCATAGTTTGTCGGGTCATCTGACACAGGTATCACCGAGACTCCCATCGATTGAATTAGGTTCACTCGGTGTGCCTGTTCTAAGTAGATTTGAGTAGAACACAATTTTCACACCGACCTCCTTTCAGTTTGTTGTACTCTTCCAATGGTGCGTCTGATTTTCTTCCGACACCAAATGGCTCACTCGTTCGGTTAGTTTCTGCCAAATCGTCCTGATATTGTTTTTGTGAAGTGTAATTCCACGTTTCCGTTTTTAATTTCCGAAATTCTACCAGAAAATCAGGACTCCTGATCGATCACGGCTAAGCAGCCGACCTACGTATTATGTTTCCGATAAAGTTAACACGTTCACAAATACACCGCAATATATTGGTAGCTTCGGTATCTTTATTGGCGGTTTTTCAGTTGACCGTTGATCTCTTCGCCGAATTTGATAATTGACTTCCAAACGTTTCGTCGCAACTCGAAGTGACGTCATCAGTGCGCGCGGTCGACGATTCGTGCGCATTGATAAACTTCCGTTTAGTAAATTATGTAGATGATTTTTCTAATCAAAGTGCACATTCTCATCGAAGTAGGCACATGAAGCTCGGTGCTAAAAGCAACACAATCAACGCAGGCCGGTGTGTTTTGGAGTTTCCGCCGGTGAGGCGCCATTTTCCGTTCCTTCTGACATTCCTCCATTGAGAGTGAGTTGTTCGTCTGCACACACTCTTCCCCATCTTCCCTGCATCTCGCAATGCAGAGTTTCAACTATGTTGGCTTCAATCAAAATTTCCCCGATCCGACAAATTGCAACAAGTATTGAGTTTTACCTGTGAACAGGTACTTCAGTCCGTGGCGGAAGTTTGTATTCATCATGGACAATATCAATATGTTGGCTTCAATCAAAATTTCCCCGATTCGACAAATTGCAACATGTATTGAGTTTTAACTGTGAACAGGCACTTCAGTCCGTAGCGGAAGTTTATATTCATCATGGACAATGTCAGTTGGCTCCTGTGGGACATGTGGCCGAGTTTTTCCCACCACTAAATCCTTTATTCAGTTTGTCTGCACTCTACCCCGCGTCTCTGGTTGCCACGGTGACATTGTCCAAAGCCTTGATCTCTTCCTAACGCTGTGACCTCTCCGGTCGCCTTAGCTCTTCCAATCGCCATCTTATCGATTTTCCCACTTCTTTCGCCCCCTCCCCCTCAATACTTTACTTTTAATTATGTTTCATATTCAACTCTTCTGCTGACCGGAGTGGTATGCGTCAAATTTTCGGGAATTATTTCTGGAGAGATCTCATTACCCTCCATTCCTCAGTTTTTGCGGAAAATCTGTCCGGTCTGAGCCGATTTACCTCGCATTTTTCAAATCAGGGAAACAGCTATATCCTGAATAGTTTAACGGTGCATGCCTGCGGTTAGTGGGTGTCCAACGCCGTCCTTCGACACACCCTAACTCCGTTGCCGTGTATGATAGATATTCATCCATTAGCAACAGATTTAGAGAAGGGAATTCATTTCACGAAGGTCAGTCCGGTTATGGAAAACGCCCATCGGAAGTTACTTCTTTCAAAGCCTGCTCAGTCGTTTCAGAAGGTCTCGGTAAAGGATCCGTGGTTTTTCGGGTGGGCAACGTTCCTCTTTTGACAAAGAAGCTTCGTCATGCCAAGTGAGTGGGCCAGGTTTTTAGGCAGACTGATAACCAATCAGCAAGACCTCTTCGGATTGGCACACTAGATCAGTCAAAAAGTCTTGTCACTTAGTGCGGTAGCTTAAAGTGGGCGGGGGGGGGTAGGGAGTTCAACTCATTCATGATCGGGTCTTTGATCTTACGCTTCAAGGTACATGAGTTAATTATTCACCGTGGGACTTGCCGGTAAATTTTGCCAATCCAAATAGGTTTGTAAACGGTGACTTCTCAATCGGTTCCAAGCTTTTCATTCTTCCTCATTCCATTCAACATTTGGCACGGCTGAATGTCCCGAATCCCCTCGCGCTAGAGAAAGCAAAAGTATTTGCTCAGTTTTCACTCCTCCCCCAACCAGTTCCCCTAGCTCTGTACAAGTTTACACAGCCTCGTTGACTCACATCTGCCGGCTATCCTCTCTCGGATGTCACCCCCCCCCCCCCCCGCTCCTTCTCT